GCTGGAAACAAGAGTTCAGAGAGGGGAGGAGAGAAGATCAGAGGGAGGAAGTGAAGACATCTAAGTAGGGACTGCTCTCTTAAAAAGTTAGAAAACAGATAGTTGGTAGCAATTTGGCAACTCTGAGGAGAGGTGGTGTAAAGGGAGTTGTTAGTATTCTAAAGATGAGATCAAAGAGGACACATTTGTAGACGAAAGGTAAGAAGGTGACCAAGAGAGTGAAGATAGAGGAGAGATGCTCATTTCTACAATATATAAAATGTTCTGCCAATCAGCCAGTCTCAGCCATGGCCATGGAGGATTCAGAGGGATGCCTGCCTGCTCCTTGCCTTCAGAATTGTGGCACTTTAATTCCAGAGACCTAGGAATTTTACTCAGTAGCCCTATGGGAATTTTAGGGGAATTTTTCATTCAGGCAGTGAGCCACCGTCTTCTCATACAGCTGCTAAAAGTGCTTGTTTCTGCATAGCTCATGTTCAAAGTTGCAGATGTGGAGACCTACAACAGGATGAGGATGTGGATGGACCAACGTGCTTGCTCAATGAGCTTTTCAATTTGGCTGATTTAGGGCTCCTAAATTTCTTGGGTTGGAATGAAAAAAGAGCTTTTAAGGTAAAAACTTTTACTCAGCTTAGTTCTTTAAGAGTATGCTGGAAGTTAAGAAACCAATCCACATCAAATGCTAAGGGTATGGGCTAGACCGTGTGGGGCAGAGGAGTTGCCTCTGTGTCCTGTGGCTGCCTTCACAATGGACACAAGCCCGTGCTCTAGATGCTACCAGGTAGACCCAGGTAGATGCGGGAACGTGCAGTGGAAAACCAAAGGTCGTAGGAAAAGAAACGGATTTTTTTTCACCATAAGTGTGTGCTTCATTGTTATTCCAGTTTACTTGAACTTATTTCATTGTTTTACACTCTTGTGAAATGCTTTTGACAACAACTGCAGCAATAAAGAAAAGAAAGGAAGTATTTAGTAATATTAAGAGGGGGCCATGGCTGGGGTGAAACATCTTGCATTATTCCTTGCTGTAGTGGGAAGAAACAGACTGTGTGAAGGGAGTTTCTGACATTTCTTACACATTTAGAGACTTGTATGATTCATTTAAAGATCACATTGCATGTGGCAAGTAAGGAAACTGGCTTCCTCCTCCAAATCCTCCCAATCTTTATATATTCCTTTTCATGATTCTATGCTAATGCTCTGAGGAACTGAAGAGTATGTTATCATGCAGCAAGGGAATGATGTGGCTCTAGGAAGGTGTCCGTGGAATTCCTCGGCAGTCAGTGAGCCTGTTTCCATGATATACTTAGGCATAAGCATGCTAGCAGTGATGGTTAAAGTAGTTGGCAGAAGTAATTATCTTTGCTTTTCTATTCATTCTTGGCAGTGTTATTGTTGTTACGGTGGATCCTCCATGCCTGCAGGCTCTACATCCATGTATTTAGCCCCTCAAGGGTCAAATATATTTACCCCTATGCTCTGAACATCTACAGACACTAGTAGGTGATGCCCAAGCAGTAGATGATTTCTTGTCTTGATTCCCAAGCAGTAAATTATAACAACTACTTGTATAGTGTCTACATTATATTGGTTACTATAAGTAAACTATAGATGATTTAAAATATACAGGAGGGTATGTGTAGGTTATAGGCAATTACTACACCATTTAATGAAGCATGGTAAAAGTATGGTGAATGTTGGGCTGGGGATTTAGCTCAGCGGCAAAGCGCCTGCCTGGCAAGCGCAAGGTCGTGAGTTCGGTT